GGGTGGACATTGGCAATCCCAATGTCAAATGCCTGACAACCTTGACAGTTCCTGTTCTGAGTTTCCTCCCACATGACATTTAAATTGTTCCTTGGAATACAGCATTCCCTTCTGGTGTGACACTCTGAAAGAGACATTGAGGAAAAACTGCAAGACCATAGAAATTATCTCCTATGTGACTCTAGGTAACAGAACTAAATTCACTTGTGAAAATAATAGGAAATGTATTTTACCTTAATATTGATAACAATATGGGTGCCTTAAAATAGAATGGATTTCACAGGGCTCCTGGGTGGCTCCGTCAGTTAAGCATCTGACTTCGGCTCAGGTCATGATCTCACGGTTCATGGGTTCGAGCCCTGAATCAGGTTCTGTGCTGGCAGCTCAGAGCCTAGAGCCTGCCTCGGATTCTGTGTCTCCCACTCTCTCTGTCCCTCCCCCTTTATCTCTGTCTCAAAAATAAATAAACTACGAAAAAATTAAAATAGAATGGTCTTCTCATTATATAACAACCCCCTCTGTCCAATAAAGTGTTCAAAGGCAGGATATCCCTAGACTTACTTCCATGAAATAATATTCTGTTTTAATTTCTACTGTTAATGTAACTGAATTATTTGCATGTTATCTAAATTTGGTATGTAATTACTGATTTGTCTCCACCCACAGAAAAGAGACCTACGGATATGTACAAAGCTACATACCCTTTTAATATCTGAAGGTATTCAGGGTTTTTGGAAGGGCAAAGACTGAAATACAATAGGATAGTTATCGTGTTATTCTTCTTAATTTAATAATTTATTATTTATTTTTTAAGCTTACTTATTCATTTTGAGACAGAGACAGCATGTAAATGGAAGGTACAGAGATAGAGGCAGAGAGAGAATTCCAAGCAGACTCTGTGCTCTCAGCACAGAGCCTGATAATGGAGCTTGAACTCACAAACCATTAGAGACCAAGAACCAAGAGTCAGACACTCAACCGACTGAGCCACCCAAGCACCTCTAATGATTTAGTATTAAGTTATTGTTTAAAATAATTTATTATTGGGGCACCTGGTTCAGGCCATGATCTCATGGTTCGTGGGTTGAACCCCTGATTCGGGCTCTGTGCTGACAGCTAGCTTAGAGCCTGGAGCCTGTCTTTGGATTCTGTATCTCCCTCTCTCTCTCTGACCCTCCCCTGCTTGAGCTGTCTCTCAAAAATAAATAAAAAACATAAAAAACAAACATAGAATATAAAAAACATAAAAAATTTATTAAGTTTATTATTAATTTATTACTATTACTAATTTAATAATTTAAAAATCAGCATGAGAACTTCTTTTATAGTAAGTTCTTTTTGTATGAAGCAGTTATGTTCTCTTCAATATAAAAACCACTATACATTGATGCTTTCTTTTTTCCCCCAGAGAATTAACTGTGCAGTCCATTGTGTGGCTTAACAGCTATGATAAAAGAACTATTTTTATTACCATAAAATGCAAATGGGATAATTTTTGGAATAATTTCAAAAATGTTGACTGCCTCTGATTGTATATCTACTCTTTGTATTGTTTCCTAAGTCATGACAGATCAAATGACCAGACCAAATTGAGTGAAGAAATTTTTATTCTCAATGTGTGAGAGAGCTGCTCTCCAAGACAGAAGCAGATGTAAGAAGGAAGAAGATAGGGATAGGGGTTGAGAAGTGTAATTGGATTATACTCCTCAGGGTATTGTGGCCCCTGCACAGGACCATGAAGTCAGGAGTCAGGTTTCCCATGGGGGTGGAGGGAGCCAGTTCTAGGAAAAAGGGAAATGGATTGGACACTGTGTTAGTGGCAGGTTGATACTACTACAGCTGACACGTAACTTTGTCCCCTTTTCATATTAGATGTTAAGTTAAACTTTTTTCCCAATATTTTGTTAAAGGCAAGTGAACACATATATATGATATGTGTGATACGATATTAACAGTAAAAAAATGTTACCATTGTGGTTTTTCTTGAAGTCAGGTATTTTTATATAATAAAAATAGTTTGAACCAATAATCATGTTACAGTTCATGCCAGTGTTATTTTTTTCAACTCTAAATGGAACAAAGTATTTACTTTATACAATAGCATAAAGGTAAGTAGGATTCTGAATTTTAGAAAGTAATTTCCTACTACCTTTCTCGTGTCTGTGCTCCTATTTTAAATATCCAGCTTTTTCCTCACAGAGTGACTGTTTTACCAGAGATTAACGACACATTTACATTTCAGAACTAGATGGGAAATCCAGACAACAAAACCATTTTCTCTTGGTGTTTTTTATTTTCTCTTTCAGTATTTCAGTTATTTAGTTGTATATGTATACATGTATTTATATTTGTGTTACAAAAAAAAAATCCATAATATCTATTTTACTATGTCGTAAATTTTCACCTTGCTGCTTTTCTTTCTCTCTGCCAAATCAGTAATCTGACAGCGTAACTGAGTCGGTCTTAATCCAGTTAATTTTAGCCCCATCTTGCTCTATGTAACTGCATTCATTGTCAGTGGGTGCTGGGTTGTTTTCATATGCTTATTCTTTCATCAATACTCCTTTACTCAGAACACCTTTTTATAGTGGCCAACTATTATGATTTGTTTTTTATCTATACAGACACTTCTGACATCAAATGTGTGAGGTTTTCACACCAAGCAATTTGTATTCTCTGTGGACACCAGCTGGGTTTCCTACAATTTAATTTAATCCTAACACTAACTACTCAGGGTTAATGCAGACCCGCAAGTTAAGGGCTCGGTCCCATGAAACTGCCTCCTGACCTTTAGATGTCAATCACAAGTGAAAGGTCTCCAGATGACCCACATTTCTGTCCAACTGGGCTACAAACTGGGAGTTCCCAGGACCTCCTCCTCGGGCTCTATAATTTGCGATAGTGATTCACAGAACTCAGGAGAAAAACTCCACTTATTATTACCAGTATATTATAAAGGATACAGATGAATAGACAGATTTTGAGTTACATAGGGTGAGGACTGGAATGGTCCCAAGTGCAGGAGCTTCTGTTTCCATAAAGTTTGGGGTACACCATACTCCCACACGTAGATGTGTTCATCACCCCCAGAAGCTCTTTGAACCACCTTTGTTTAAGGTTTTAATGGAGGTTTCCATTTTCTAGACATGGTTGATGTAATCACTGGCCTTTAGTGATTAGCTCAAACCTCAGCCCCTCTTCCTTCCAGCAGGTCCAGTCGGGAGAGCTCAAAGTTTCAACCCTTTAATCACATGATTGGTGCTTCTGGCAACCAGCCCTCATCCTGAGGCCTTGTACAATTCCGGCCACCAGTCATCTAATTAATATAAACTAGGTGTGGTTGAAATGAGTTTATGAATAACAGAAGACACTCTACTCAACTGTATCACTCAAGAAATTACAATGGTTTTAGGAACTCTGCGCCAGGAACCTGAGATAAAGACCAAATGTATATTTCTTATTATATTGCCCACATCACATGTGGATTTAACCACTCTGTGAAATACCTAGTCAGAACATTTCTGACCTTCTGCTTGAGTGACACATAACGAAGTCAAGCATTCAGGAATCCAAGTGGATTAAGTTTGAAATCTGCTAGTTATCTGTACCATAGGGGAGGAACTTCATTATATAAAAGAAAGCTTTAGAAGGGCAACAGAGAGAGATGAAAATCATGAATTGGAAATCCATTTTAGTATCTGAATGTTTCTGTTCTACATTGGCTCACTCAAGAGATTTCTTTTTTTTTAATTTTTTAATATTTATTTTTCAGAGAGAGAGGGGAACACAGAATCTGAAGCAGTCCCCAGGCTCTGAGCTCATGACCTAAGCCAAAGTCAGAGGCCCCACTGACCAAGCCACCTGGGGAACCCCAGAGATTCTTTATAAAATATTTTCTATAGCTTTGTTCTTATATTTGCTTCAGGCAAGATTTGGAGAATCTCAAAATATGTGTTTCAGGTGAAATCTTTTTTTTTTAAATTTTTATTTATTTTGAGGAAGAGAGGTAGAAAGCAAGCAGGAGAGGAGCAGAAAGGGGGAGACAGAGTATCCCAAACAGGCTGCACAGTGTCAGTGCAGAGCCCAATGTGGAGCTTGAACTCACAAACCTGACCTAGAGCAAAATCAGGACTCTGACACTTAACTGACTCAGCCATCTGCACCCTCAGGTGAAATCTTTTTGAAATTAGTGACTAATATTTTGTTAGGGAATAAATTGAAGTGGATAGCTCTGAGCAACATTAGTCTGATACCCAAAAAGTTTGTACCATGTTTTCTTATCTTTGAGGTTGTCAAATATTTGTTGCCATTATTATTATTATTAATTATTATTATTATTACTTTATATTAGAGTGAAAGAGCAAGAGAGAGAGCATGAGCTGGGGCAGAGGGAGAGAGGCAGAGGGAGAGAGAAAATCCCAAGCAGGCTCCATGCTCAGTGCAGAGTCTGAGACAGGACTTGATTTCAGGACCCTGGGATCATGACCTGAACCAAAATCAAGAGTCTGAAGCTCAACTGACTGAGCCACCCAGGCACCCCGCCATCATATTTTACGTGAAGAATTCTAGAAACACTGCTAGTGAATACTCAAAAGAGTACTGATTATGTGCCAACCAACGTTCTAAATGCTGCATATTATTAAATTTAATCCCTGCACCAACCCTATGAGTTAGATATTATTATTATTTATTTTACAGACGATAAAACTGAGACTCAGAGAGAGTAAATTACTAACTAAAGGTCACACAGCAAGTAAGTGGCAGAGCCAGGTTTTGAGCTAAAAAATCTTGCTTGTGACCATTATGCAATCTGCCTTTTACACAAAACCTTTCAGTTAATCTGTTTTCTTTTTCTTGTCTTTTCTAGTGTGCTAGACCGGGGATGAGTATTTTTATCCAACATTCAAAAATTCTTATCTTGATAGTTCAATCAAGAAAGTTCAGCAAACCGTTTTACGAATACTGAAATAAACAAATTATTTTTTTTTCTTTTCCTTGAACCTTGTTGCAGTGTCTTCCAGTCTCCAGCTACTGAGCAAACTGGGAACAGAATGCGTACCTCTGCCAGGCTTCCTTTCTCTCCCGTCTCTGAAGCTGGCAGAATATAAACCACTCTCCACACAGGATCCTGGGAGGTCTAAAAATTTTTCTTAATGTTTATTTATTTTTGAGAGAGAGACTGAGTACAAGTGTGGGAGGGGCAGGGAGAGAGGGAGACACAGAACCCGAAGCAGGCTCCAGGCTCTGAGCCGTCAACACAGAGCCCAATGTTGGGTTTGAACTCACAAACCATGAGATCATAACCTGAGCTGAAGTCAGAGGATTAACTGACTGAGCCACCCAGGTTCGCCATGAAGTAAACAACTTTTAGCAACATAAAAGGATTTCCTTTATTTTCATGCAATTTTGATGCGTTAGAACAGCTTGTGAAGTTCCTGTCGTTTTAACTTCTACGTATTCAATGTGATGTTATTTTTACATTTACCATTCATATAACACCTAAAAGAATCTATGAAAACTATGATGAAACTGATTTTTAAAAAAGCAGCAATTAAGCTAAAGATAGAATTTAAAATTTTACTTATGTGAACAATTCTTTTTTATCTTGGCAATGATTTTTTTTTCTTTTTTTTTATTTCTAGGAGAGAGAGAGAGAGACAGCGTGAGCAGGGGAGGGTCAGAGAGAGAGGGAGTCACAGACTGAAACAGGCTCCAGGCTCTGAGCGGGCAGTCAGCACAGAGCCCGATGCGGGGCTCGAACCCACGAACCGCGAGATCATGACCTAAGCGAAAGTCGGACGCTTAACCGACTAAGCCACCCAGGTGCCCCTTGGCAATGATTTTTTTATAGCCTTTTGTAGCTAACCTTTTTTTTTTTTTTTTAACATCCCTGCGAAGTTAAAACGTGTTACTAAACATAAAGAGAAGTGAGGAATTAATGTAATTAATATAACACCTGAAGTTCAACAAGTAATTTCTGTTGTATTTTCTTCTTCATATACCTTCATTCCGTATGTCTTTTCCCTAAACACGGATATGTTATGTCAGGCTGAAGTAACAGGCTATTTCATTTCAGAATTGTAACTGGAGCCCAAGGACGCAAGAACACTTTGCTCTGGGGTGTGGGGACAGCCCGATCAGGTTTGGCCACTCACTACTGACGAAACCGGAAGGGAGACAGAGGAGTGGTGGAAAAACCAGAAAGGAATTTAGTTCAGTGAGGCCAACACTGGGAAGACAGACCAGCATCTCAGACGGTCTCCGAAGTGCTGGAAGTACTTACAGGTTTATATTAAGAAAACATGGGACATAGGTTGGTGAGTATGTGCAGGTGCGCAGGGAAGGTCAAACTGATCGTTGTCTTGGGGTCAATCACACAGGGACTGGCTGACGTCAGAGCTGACCGCATTGCTTGAAGGGGTAGTTTCGGTTCCCATCACAGGATTCTCTGCCGGGTCTTTTGCCTGAGTTAAAAGATAAGCTGGAAAGAGGAACTTAATCAGTTAGAAAGTACAGACTGAAGTCAAATGGAGGTTGTTGAAGCCTGCTTTCAGATGTATGCAATCCAGTGCACGAAAAAAATCTTTCAATCTATTTTTTCCTTTCAGTTTCTCAGCCTGTCACATGATGCTTGAGCAAGTTTTTTTTCTGGTGACCTCGTATCTTGTGCCCTACGCATTTTCGTGAACTTTTTTACTTTGCTAATTCTGTTCATTTTGTTGCTTTTCTTTTTCTTTGTGAAAAGACTCCAACAGTAAAGCAGTTATTGAGAGCTTGCTAGTCTTCCCTTCTTTTCCTTGCATGCCCCTTCCCCTTCCCAATCTTCTTTCTAGCGTGACACTGCTAGCCAGTCATATATTTGCTAAATGCCAGTCATTGCTTAATGTTTTACATGCATTGTCATCCACATAGGATTCCTAATAATAAGTAGGAACTATTTTTTGTGTCTATTTACAGATAAAGAAAATGAGGCACAGGAAAGCTAAAGTCAAATGGCTTATGACTGGAGTTTGAATTCAGTCAATCCTTGCCCATCAGATCTCCCGGATATCCTTTGTATTGGCCTCTCACACAAAGTATGTGTGACCTTTGGTCTGACCAATTGACAACTGATTTAATGCAGGCAGGCAGGTCTGAGTATCCAGAGGGGGTCCTATAGGACCAGCCAAGAGGGTCCTTGACTTTGTGCAGGATGGAAATCAAACATGAGCATAGAAGAAGTAAGAGCAGAGTTTACTAAAGACATAAGAGTGCAGTACAGACAGTGTCTGAGAGACTCAGAAAGGAAAGAAAGGCACCCATGTGGCTCAGTTGGTTAGGCGTCCCACTTTAGCTCTGGTCATGATCTCATGGTTCATGGGTTCAAGTCCTGCGTCAGGCTCTGTGCTTATAGCTCAGAGTCTGCTTGGGGTTCTGTGTCTCCCTCTCTCTCTGCTCCTCTCTTGCTCGTGTTCTGTCTCTGTCTCTCAAAAATGAATGAACGTTAAAAATTGTTAAGAAAAAAACAAAAAAGGAAGAAGAGTGAGCCACATCTTTGCTTGGAGTCTGGGGTTTTTATTGAGGATGGTGGTCTGGTGCACCTGTCTTTTCAGGCATCCAGGAACAAAGACAAGTGTTTGGATGTTCTCCATAAGTCACTTATGCCCTGGAGCCAGGGGTCCTAATGAGTCACCCGTTTTGGTAAACGTTCTGCTGCCCAGTCACTCCTTAGATGTTGTCTATTGTTCTGGAAGTCTCCAAAGAAATCATTAAATCCTTGACCTTTACAAGGAGGACATACGTTATCTATTGTATAGATATACACATACCTACCTATTGTGTAAGGCTTGTGTAAGGCAGGGCTCTAGGACCTAGCAAAAATAGAAGCAGGAAAAAGAGCAAAAATTGCCATTTTTCATGGGGTCTTTTAGTTGCCCTGTTTCACTTTCTGGCCTTGTTAAGAAAGGAACGAACACCTGATTATCTTGGCATCTAAATCTGCGATTACTTCTGGTCAGAAAATTTGCTATAAGGTAAAAAAAAAATGAAATAAAATCTTTTAGCAATGGGCAAATAGTCAAACTGTAGTTTATAAATGATTCTTAGAGCCTTCTATTTGGATTTGGTCCAGTTCCATAGATTTAATTTGATTGTTACACTGAACAGACAGAAGATCATGGGAACTGCAGTTACAGAAGAGAGATTGTTTTTATAGACATGTGATATGATTTTTAACACTTCACACACCTGCGTATATAAATTATGCAGTTATTTATGGCATCCTTCTGCTGAAGTAATTTTAGTTACTTTCTTAGGCAACATGATACATTTGTGTGCAAGGAAAACATATGTCCTATGAATGCTTCACTCATACATTTATATTTCAAGTCAAGCGTTCAGTAAACAGAAACTAAATAAATGCCTGCTATATGTCAGCCATTGGACTGGACCTTGTGAATATTGTAAACATCAAGAAAAACCAATGTTAAAGCCTTGTGAAATAGCTTTAAAAAAGCTTTATAAAGTAGGTATTTCTGCTTCAGGGATTCTTTCCCCTCCTCCTCCTCCTCCTCCTTCTTCTTCTTCTTTTTTTTAAATTTCTGCCGTAGCTATTCTCGAATATAAACACTAAGTCCCAGTGTTTCTTTGTAATGAAAAGCAATATGTATAGGGTTTCAGAAATCTTTTCTTTTCTAAAATTTTCATCACTTGCAAAGTAGGTTTGATTATGTTGAGAGGTCTATAAATTATCCTTTATTCAAAATGTCTATAATTTTAATCAAGTTATTTTAATTGCAATAGGTTGTAAATTTGCAATAAAATGACAAGAAGAGAGGCTGTAACAGATGTTCTGTCAGCACATGTGATTTCATCTGAGACAATCAAGCATTCATCATGCTTAATCTTCATCAATTGAAATGTACTGATTTTCAATAATGTGAGCGCTGTATACTCAAAAGGCTTCTGATACTTAAGAACAAATTTTTTGACTAGGGCATATTTTTGTATAGTGGCTAATTTACCTCAAGGATTTCCTCATGTGCTATTATAAATAATTTTATTTAGTTTGAATTATTTTCATATTACTGGATTATAAAGGTAGCTATTGTTTTTTTATAGATTCCTTATTTTTTTTTTGGTCATTCCATGTTTCTTTGCATACGGCAAGTATTTCACCTACATATGTAAAATATCATCTATGCTTAAACTGGATGCAATTTGTAAATGGTGATGTTAAATTATTTCTTTGAAATATACTGCTCAGATGGGAGTTTAGTTTATTTAGCTTAGCTGTAGAGTCCTATGAGTAGCACATTAGCAGTAATACTTTCATAAAGAAAATACAGTTAAAGCCTGCTTCAGTACTATACACAATGAAAATAAATTTCATTGAAAACCTAGCACTTCCTAGGCAGTGTTTTGAACATCACTGGACCTTAGAAAATACAGGGTAAAAATAAAAGCGGGAAAATGAACATCACAATATTATAATCTGTACATTCTTTACATGGTGCTTTATAGGAAACTGTGTAAGAAACGGAGAGTGAGAAGAAGAAAGAAAGAGGGAGAGCAGAAGAGAGACACAAAGAGAGAGAGGAGTAAGGGAGATAGGCAGAGAAAATGCAGGCAGTTAGAAACAAGAAGAAAAAGAGGAGGAGGAAGAGGAGCTGGGGGAGGACAAGGAGAAAGGTGAAAGAGGAGAAGGGAGTCACAAGAGGAGAAACAGGATCATGAAAATTACAGACCTAAGCTTTTCCTTTCACGTGCAAGGGCACACATTCTCTGGGGACGGTCAGAGGCTCCTGTAGAGAATCAAGCTGTTGGGTAATGGGAAGGTGATCTCCTGCCTTGAGGCTTGCTTTCATAGAAAAGGAGTGGAGGTGGGGGAGAAATGAATAAAAGTTCCTGCCAGTGGGACCTGGAGAGAGGCAATTAGGTCTTGGCTAGTTCTCAGGTACTGCAAATGCCATTTGTCTGCACCCGGAAGCATCTTGGCTGCTGGGTAAATGACAGTAGTTTGAGAGGCTCCCGAGAAAACGCGCAGAGTTGCTGAGAAACACAGGGAGAGTGACCCTAGAGGCCAACGTAAGATTTAAAGTGGGCAGAAAAGAAACAGAATTGCTCTCATATCTTTGCCTTTTCCAACCAATTGCTTGGA